CAATTTAACTACTAAATTTAAATTATCAGTTAACTCAATTTCAGACCATTTGAAATTCTAATACGTAACAAATATAATTCAAAAACCTATGAAACAGGAATGTATGATTTTTTTCATGTGTTTGCGAAATTTGAAAGAGGATATGTTGCTATGTTTGTTTGCTTGTGAAATACGATCGTAATCTATACGGATCAGAATCAAGGCAAACTTGCATTCATTACATAATTCAACAAATGTTTGAAACAGTAATGCATGATTTTTATTTTTTGTGCACATGAAATCTAAAAAGAAATAAATGGCTGTGTTACGAGATGTTTTAAATCATCCAAAGTTAAAGTAGGATAGGTTAACGATGACTCAAAAACCAGATGTTTCGATTATGTTCAAGTTTAATGACTGGATCGATTTTCGTATTCTTCAAAGACCAGTCGATTTAAAACCATTTTAAATTATGATTTGTATCGTATACTGGAGAAATGACATCGTTATTCTTAAAATGAACTATCAATAACTCTACATAAATTGGTTAAACTTAAACTGCTTTGTATTTTATTTTTGAGGTGTTGTGCACTAAAACACCTATGCTAAGTTTGATGTGAAGGGTCGGAATGTCAAGTTACATTGGTATTGTAGACGAAACGTAATTCTGGTTTGAGTTGTACTGGGGAAGTTTGGTATGGTAACTGCAAACTCCATATAACATCTAAGAATAATACTAAAATGCTTCTAATATATCCACTGTTATATGCGTGATCTAAATTATGATAAACCATATGCATTACCATGCAACTCACCGTAATCAGAGGTCATTTGCTAAATATTTGGCAAAAGTAGCAGTTGAGCCAAGTCAATCTGTTGTACCTCAACAACGTCAATACAGCTAGAAATAACCAAAACTTTAATACCATTAACAAACCTTACTAATTCGCTGAGTATGCTCCTCTCAATATCATTAATGTAAATAAGAAAAACCAAAGGCCTAAGCACTGACCTCCTGAGGCACATCATTAACATAATGGGTTCAGTACGACTGAATTCCATTAATAACAATCTTTTGGTTTCTCTAATCCAACCACTTTACTGATTATTTAACCAGTCTTTTCCCCAACCTCTACCGTTATGATTTGCTTAGATAACCTTTTGTGTGGCACCTTATCAAAACTTTTTTGAAACTCTAAGGAGAAAATCTTTCACAGAACACCTGGAGGGTTGATTAGGACCTGAAGTACATTATATATGAGTTTGGACTTGTTCATTGATAGTCCTACACTACTAAATAACTTTTACAAAACTGTAAGTGCAACTGCAATGAAGCAGAGTAAAATAGGATGTGTACGAAATTTATGCACGAAAAATAAGTTAACTAAATTTTGCTCTAACAATCGTTTGGAACAAAATGTTTTAGGAATTTTTTTAAAACATTTATCTTGAATTATGTGGCTCTCTAAAAAACAAAAGATCTACGAAAAGATTATTCACTCGATACAGTAAAATTTCTGAATAGCGTTTCTTAAAATTAAATTCGGTTTTATTGAATATTATTTATGGAGTTTTTAAATGCATTAATAATTTTTTGTTTATGTCTGTAGTGGTTATTTTCAGAAATATGTCCATGATTTGAATACAGTTGCCCAGGTAAGAACATTTCTCTTTACTACAATAGTTCGCATAATGAAATACACTGATAACTTCTTAGATGTGTTGTCATAAGAAAATGTTAAGCAAATATTTTGTTCTTGATTTTTCAATTTTGGTTCAAAGATGTATCTATTTAGTGGGCCTACTAAATGATTTTAATCTTGTAATATACGGAGTAAAAAAAGAATAATAATGTTAATATCAACATCTTACCAATTACATACCAATAACAATAACATAGAATAATATAACACGAAGTCGCCATACCCTAAACTATAGACGTTTAGCAATCATGGACAAACTCTGTTTTGATAAAACTTAACATTGAATGTACATGAAATACTGTTTTGTTATTTAGTTCTTGTCTTCTGAAACATCGTTATATAGTTAGATGGTCATTTCTACTATAGATATCCTTTTATATATCTATCTTAGAGAATAATCCAAGTAGAGAATTAATTCTCGACCTCTACATCAGATGACGATGACAAAAGTATTCTCCAGAATAAAGTGCTTCTCCTATCTTGTATAAACGTAAAAAATAAAATAGATAGAATTTTATTCAATTCCTTTTTTAAATTTTTGACATATCGAATTACTTTTACCTGAACTTCTACTATCGATAAGGGTTTGTTTATCCAATTATACATCCTGAATTGTATAACCGGTTTTAATATATTTATATAAGATGTTTATTAACCCTTTCAGCATGGGCTCGGTCCGTCGGACCAACCTCGTAACCATTTTGTGTTTATTATAGTTTTCATGCTATAACTTTTAAACTGGTAAGTGTTATGTTAACGAAATTTAGCAGATTATCAGTTAACATAACAATGCTTTCATATGCAAAATATCAATTTTTTTATTAATTTTTAAGGTTTGTTAAGCAATGTTTTTCTCATACTTTTTTCTATTTTCACATGTTACCTATCCAACATGCAAAGTAATTTTCATTTTAAGATTAAAAATATTTTTATGCATCAGAAAATTTTCAAATATACCATGCAAAATCTATATGATGTCCAGATAGTTAAGAAACGTTTCCTAATGAAAAACTTGATCTGTTATTTTTACTCATGAATCTCTACAGGTTCGATCGATTTGACCGATCTCGTAACCAACATAAAAAATTAGGAAATAAACTGTATCCAATAATATATAGTTAACCTTTAGTCTTTGCTGTGTTTCAGTAGACTAGTATTTAGTAAAATACAATAATATTTCAATTATTATACATTACAATATACACTATTTTAAATATGAAGTCACAGAAAAATACATCCTACAACTCAACTTATTATTCTACACCATCATCAAAACTGCATTCATATGACAAACATGTACTCCTAAGTAAAGAAGTGTTAATTGAAATCTTTACCTGATCAAAGAGTTGTTTTCCTGTTGTATTAGGCTGGACAGCAAACTCTAGCTCTGCATCCATAGTGGTGACTCTAACATTTACCTACAACAGGCATGGTGTCAAACAAGTATTAAATCAAAATTTGATCTATGCCAAAATTATAAAATCTAAAACAAACAAAATGGTAATAAACACATGTATAATAATAAATACTTTTATTCTCCATTTTTATAGACTTAGTTTGTAAAGGTTGTAATGTGTAAATTTGTTAGTAATAAATATTACATTGGATACCAAGGTTCATTATTTACAATCAATATTGCATAAACTTCAATATGTTATATTGTTATTTTCATAAATGTTTCAAATAAAACTGTTATTGATTACACTCCTTTTTCTGTTGCCATCAACTGTGTAAAACTTGTTAGCATGAACTATATGTACTTTTCAATTACATCTTCACAACAAAAGCTTTCTATAATTATTGATACTGTCTCATTTAAGAAAGATTTCAATAATCACCCTAATCACAAGTTCAGTTCAAAACAAAATTAGCATTAATACATAAAAAATATATATCAAAAGTTCTAAGAAATATATTAGTTTTATTTTGAAACTTACAGCTTTTGGCATCTTGTTATCTTGATTCTTCACAGTGTGTATTTGAAAAAGAAAAGCAAATATAAAAAAAATTTTAGTTAATCAAAAATATAAATGCCTACTACAGAACAAATAACAGTAAATCATACATATTCACATAGCTAATATACTTGTAGGAGCAAAAAACAGCACTGTATTCTTGAATAAGTAGTTTGTTAAAGCATGTGGCATTTATAGTGGAAAAACTGCAGAATTAACCAAATAAACAAAGTTCAAAAACAGTCCAAGATAAAAACTTTTAACATGGAAAACAATTCTTGCAGTAACTGTAGCTACTTTTTTTAAGCATAAATATAAAATCATCTGTATATTAAAAACTAGTATAGTATTTTAATAAAATAGTTCACCAGTAAACCTTGGACAGTATAGCTTAGTGTTTCCCAACATTTGTCATCAAAATATGTTTTCTTGCACATACCCCCCTTTTTTTAGATGAGTGAAAGAGCAAGATAAAGGATGAGATATAATACACAGACACACATAAAAATGACTTGCGTTGTAGTAATTACGTATTATTTTCATTAATAAAACATAAATTAAAATGCTTAATTTTTCATTATTGTACTAACGACACTACCCAAATTTCTTGTGTCCCCTCTAAGATATCATTTGCACCTCCTGGGTGGCTTGCCACACACTCTAAGAAATAATGGTGTAGCCAGTTATGATAATCATACATACAGTGTAAACTTACATTTATATAAAAATTTACCTAAACAAAATGTTGAATTCCACAGTAGTTCTAAAGGTGATTTTATTTTTAAATACCATTTAATGAAAAAAAAAATCTTTTTTTAATTATTACTGTTAACAGATAAGAAAACAAGCCCAATAATTTGGATGCTTTTGGAAAGCTTTTCTTTCCAAAACCCTAAGGGTACTTGGTTTCTTTTCTGATCCTAACTTTTTTCTTTTGAATACTATGTGTACTTTTTGAATACTATGACCATTTACTGAAATGGTCTGGGTATATTTTATACATTATATAACCTGATTAATTTTATGAATTAAATGCTTCTGTCAATGATATTTAAGCTTCATAGCTTAGTTAGAGCTTGGATTGAAATACAGCTCAGTCCAAGTTTTCAGCTCTATGATATTTGCTGAAAATCATTCTTTATAAAATATTTCAGTTTTTTTTTTTCTTTACTCAAATATTACTTAAGCTCATGCTTAAATAAAATGTTGGAGCTTTCAATGGAATAAAACAGAAACCATGGTACCTCAAAATTTTAACCTGATGCAGGAGAAGAAAAATCAACCAATAAAACAACTTCACAAGCCAAGAGTCAAGTCAAACACATTGGATAGAAATTAAGATAATAGTTGTATACTTTATACATGAAAATTATCATAAGTTACTTGAAAACAGCATTCATAGGCTCCACATATACTTCTGAAAGATTTAGGGTAAATATTTAAACAGTTTACTTTTCTAAAAAGTGTATATATATTCACATACCATTCCCTCTAGCTGCTGTCTTATTTAATCCATGTAGTGATACAATGATGACACAGGCATGTTAATATAGGTTATGCAGTGCCCTATTACTTATGTGTTCAGCAATAAGAGCATAATTTAATACATCATAATTACAACTTAAGTCTTTCATAACCAACTAGCACATAAATGGATAATTAAAACTATATATTTGCACCATCAAGCATGTATCTACTTTTTGTTAAGGAGATTTATATTTTTCTATTAACTCACAGTATGACTTCAGAAAAATGACAGTATTTAAAGATAGCAGTACATGTTTAACTCTCACATCACTCTGGTAAGAGATGCCATTCTCTCCTCGACAGTCAGCAATTGTTAATATCAAATTACTCTAAGTGGTAACATTTAAGTAATAATTTTCATTATAGTATTATTTGAAGATAAGTTAAATGACTAATCTAGTTATTAACTGTCATTCAGTAGTGAAAGTTTCCCTGAAATCAAAACTTTTTCTGGTGCTTGACCATTTATTTCATAAATATTTTAACATGGTCATCACTCTTGTTTATTTTATTCCTTAGACTTGTTGGTAACAGATCTACCACTTGATAAAATATTAACATAAGTACCAGTAGCGCATGTTTAAATGGCTGGTACTGTATTAGTACTCCAATGTACATGTAAGATCGACTTGCGCTCTATTCTGTACATTATAAAATCATGACTGTTGCAGTCACCTTCTCTGAAATGTGCACAACACAATATTGAAGTACCTGAATAAACAGTTTTTTTCATTTGTAACTTATGAATTCTATTCACTGCTTTCATTTTCAGGTCTTTTGGAAAGTTATGAAGCCTATGCATTAAGCTAGTATCAGAACAGCTCATAGCTACACATCAACCAGCAATTTTAATTCTATAAGATTAGTAAAAAATTTTAATTTAAAGAGGAGGGAATAGGAATCATCAAAATAGTACAGAAACAAGTTGAATCAAAATGTAAAGATTATATTTTCAAGCTACAAATCTCTATTTGACACCATATCTACAGTACTTATCAATTCTAGTAGAGTCAAAATAGAGATTTATAGCTTGAACAAACTTTCAGCAATATATCTCCAGCCTTGTTTGCTTACTTTTTTTACAATCCCTATTTGTAGATTTTAAATTCTCAATTTTTAATTATCTAGTATGTTTGTTTTTTTAATGCACAGCAATGGGCAAATATATGCCTAGAGTAAGACACAACCCCCACTAAGGACATAAAATTTTACCAGTAGAAAAGAAGTTTTTCCAAGTAAAACAAATACATCTAAAACATCTCTAACACTTTCGAGACAGGTCATGGGTGAAAGGCTACGTCATCTCATTTGTTGACTCGCATTAAAAATTATTATTGAACTACTATTTCTTGAATTTATGTCAATAACTTTGGTATCAAACTGTAGATTATAACTGAAATTTTAGTACTATACATTACTCAATTTCTTAATTTTAAAGTGAATATTAAAAACACAGATAAACATCAAATTTTTGTGTGACACATGGTATGTTGAATGCAGCTTTAGTTCATATTCGATGTTTGTGAAGTCAAAATAATAAGTCTATAGTTTGTACGAATTAGAAACTCAAATTTCCAATACTGACAAGCTATAATATAAAATAAGAACATCTTATCTTTTCTATAAGTCTATATATGACATAAATAACTAATCGGAAGCTCAAAATGTCCCCCTCGTGGCTTTCTCCGCCACTTTAATGGGCCTGGATGTAATTTCTTTATTTTGAACCAATATGTCAAGGAGGTAGGGTGTGTCTTTAGTCTGCTCGAAATTTAATATTTTTTAGACAAAAATACATCTTAGTTACTAAGCTTGATAAATTATAATGGAATTCTATGGTATTGATGTAGTAATTTTTGATTTTTTAATTATTCAAATGTATAATAAAAACCTAAAAAAATTATTTTGTTTCATATCCTTCAAGTGCAAAATTTTTAAAGGCTTAGCAACCTACGTTAAGCAGCAACTAAGTACAAAGGTCGTAACTAGAAGAGATAATTGTTTGCTTTACTTAATTACTTACTATTCTATATTTTAAGAAAAATTAAGAACTTATTTCTAAATAGCAATAATTTATATACATACAACTAGTCTATGCATATAACATAACTTTAATGAAAATTCACAGAATTGTTTCAGACATAACTGAATATAACCACACAGTTAAAAGGTATATACATCAAAAGGTCATAACATAACATGCCACTCTCTCTAACTCTGATGACTAATATTTCTTTTCCATGATAAAAATACAAATAAAGTTTTTCTTCATATCTGAAGCTTTTGCTTAAGAGAAAAACATTCATAACAGAACAAAACTGATGTCTAAATAAAGTTTTTAAGAACGTTATACTCCACACCCACCCACACATAAGCTGAAAATATATTCAATTTGGAAAAATCTAGCAAAATATTTAAGTATTATTTAAACAATCCTTTTTTTCTTAGAAAACAAAAACAAATAGTTTAGGTTTTGATCTGTGTATTAGGATGTCATAAATATATTTTTATATGAGTGCATGTTTACCAACATAACGCAGACTTTACAACAGTTACTATTAAAGTTCTAGTCAATTGCTAGACAGTGCATAGTCTGCCAACATTTAAGTTCTTGAATGTCATTTTTAAGAAAACATGGATTATTAATTTACCTATAATGTTGTAGGACAAAAAATATTTCAAATATACACACTTATTTATTAGCTAGTTCTGCAAATACATTTGATTCACTTTACCAAATCCACGATATATTGTTTTCTTTCATTCTCAAAACCTTCATCATTTTTGAAAAATATTGGATAGTTCTTTTTTTGTTTTCATAAACATTTAAAATTCCACAAGCCTGTGTATGTCAGATAATACCATAATGTGCAACCAGCTAACAAGCTCTGGTATTAAATGAAATGCTTTCAAGGAACATTTCATATGGGTTACGCAAGAAACTGCATCCGGATGTACATTTTCAAAGGTATATATTATACAAATATTGGTAAATAATGTTTAAAACTTAATTGGATTATTTGAAAATAAAAAAGAAAGTCAAAATTAAACAGTTTCAGCATTTCTTGTTTGACAAGTTCTATTTCATTTTCATTATGAGAGCCTTCCTTCTCTTTATAACTTTCCTCAGGGAACTGGCCACAGTGAAGAAGCTAAAAGTTTTTTTCCTTATCAGTTTTCTCAAAGTTTTCATCAGCTGATGAAAGGAGTTGCTTAATGTCAGAATGAAGTCTGATCTTCTTATGTTTGAGATCTTCTAGTTCCAATTCAGGTTCTTCAACCTTTTTGTTGTCACCTTTCTGTGGCTTCTGCTTTCTGGACTTCTCCTCTTCAAAGGACGTCCTATACCTTTGTTTTGCATTTCTAACAAAGGTAAGCTTTTCTGTAGTTATGTTAACATTCAGGACATCCCCAGCATGTCTAATTTGGTCAATTATGACTCTCCTAGCATTAAGGGGCATGCTTTGGTGGTTTTCTGTAAT